TAATTTGCTTTTTTTGCTTTCTTATTATTACTGCATGTATTAGACCATATATGCACATGAACCAGAGATGCTGGGAATTTTAAATTTGAATTTTTGTTTTTTATCTAGCTAATTTCATTTACATTCTTTTTCTTTTTATCACTTTTGTTCATAGGTATTCCACACTGATAATAGAAATTCTGCCAGGAATGGTGAAATGTTAAGATCACAGGTGCAAATTTACTGTAGTTGATCTTGCGATTGGAGCACTCTAAACATTTTTGTCATAGTGAATTTTTCTCCTTTGATCAGAGTAGCATTTCTTATATCAAAATTGTGGGCAGTCTCATTATGGTGGGTAACCAATGCATTTGATGTTTTATAAAATACCTTTTGTGTTCATATAATTTTTTATTTAGATTCCTTGAGGTTTCTCCTAAGTATTTTTGTGCCAATTATTACAGGTAATCAAGTAAATTCCTCCTTCAATTTCAAAAAAAAATTTTTTAAATTTATATTCCCAGCATCCTATGATTCAGACATAGTTGCATTCTCAGAAACAAGATTCTCTGATGATGGGCAATTGGTTGAACTAGAGGCTGGCTCTACAATCTTTTACAAAGGTTGACCAGCTAATTTGCATAGGGAGTCTGATGTTGGGTTCACTCAGTCTTTGTACCATGCAGTTTATGACTCACCATTGTCAGTGTTTGCACATACTGGAAATGCACTGCTACATAAGCCAGATGAAATCAACACTTCAGTGATGTCTTAAACTGCAAGTCTATAGTAAACCCTGATGTCATTGAGGTACCCATCATCCACTAACTCAATGAATCACCCTCGAATGACATAACAATTGCTTAATAATTGGAAAAGCGCCTGGGAATGGTGGAATACTTGCTAAACTACTCCAACAAGGAGGTGATGTACACAATATTTCACATGTGGGAGAAGGTGCAACTTCCCAGCTGTGGAATGATACCATCATTGTTTCACTTTATAAGAAGGGACCCAAAAATACGTTGACAACTTTTGTGGGATATCACCACTGTTATCTGTTGATAAAGTGTTTTCTATGGCACTGCTACAATGTTGAACTAAACATTCTGTCTGAATCATAATGTGGCTTTAGGCTGAATTGAGGAACAATCAACATGATCTTCACTGCTTGAAAGGTTCGGCGGGAGTGTAGGTGACAACAGCTCGACCTGTATCAGTGTTTCATAGATCTCATAAAGGCTTTTGACACTGTGCACAGGCCAATTCTCTGGGGTATTCCTCTGAAGATTGGGTGTCCAGAAAAGTTCTCTGGGCTCGTTTGCTTCATGACAATATGAAAGCATGTGTGTGTCAGTGGTGAACTCTTAGAACCTATTCCAGTTGAATTTGGAGTGAAGGAAGGTGATATTCTGGCACCTGTGTTATTTACTATCTTTTTTGCCATTGTGATCATGGAGGTTTTTTTTTTTTTTTTGTAATGTGATGTTGGTGTATACATTTATTATCGCATATCAGGAAGGCTTTTCGACATCTGTCGATTCACTGCTGTGACTAGAGCATCTGTTGCTCTGATTCATGATCTTCTGTATGCTGACGACTGTGACCTTGTTACCCACAGTGAGGGATTTTCAGTTTCTTATGGACTGTTTATCAACCTCCAGTGATCAATTTGGACTTACAATCAGTCTCAAGAAAACAGTTGTCATGCTGCAACTTGCCCCAAGGAAACTATGCATCCCGTCATCAATATTTGTCAAAGATAAATGGCTAGAAGTCATAGATATGTTTGTCTACCTCAGCAATGCATTATTTAGATCCAACACACTTATGAAGAGATCTCTTAGATTCTCAAAGGCATGTGATGCATTTGGTAAACTTGAGTCAAGGTTTTGGTCATAATCGAACATAAAAGCAATAACAAAAGTAGAGATGTATCATGTGTGACAACAACCATGCTATATTACTGTGAGACATGGGCAACTTACCATAGGCATAGTCAGTACCTTGAGTGCTTTCATCAGTGTCATCTGAATAATATTTGAAAGATCTCATGGTGATCACATGTGCCTGATACAAGAATGCTGCAGTTGGCAAGATCAGCAGGTATTGAGTCTATGGTTATGAAACCCCAACTTAGATGGTCTGATCACTTGATCCACCTAGAAGACTCACACATGCCTAAATAGGTTATTCATGGGGAGTTATCATAGGGAAAACAACTGCAGTGTAAGCCTCGCAAAGTGCTATAAAGACAATCTGAAGGACACTCAAAACGACACATACCTGCATCAGATTGGCAAACATAGAAAAGTCTGATTGCTACTGGTGTCAAGAATTTTGAGAACAGCAAGATAGAATATGCACAACAAAAACATGCAAGCAGATATATGAGAGGCGTTGACCATCTCCCAGAATAAGGATCAAAGGAGTCTCTTACATGTGATCAATGTGACCACATTTGCTTCTCAAAAGCAGGTTTTCTCAGCTACACACGGAGATATCAATTACCAATATGACATCCCCAATTATTGTACATGTGTGTGTCGATTAGCCAGCAAACTCACACCATATTTTCACAGCCAACACCCAGAAAGGCAAACTGCAGCAGGAAGACAGACATGTCAGCAATATAGGAAGAACTGAAGGTCTTAAAAGCCATTTCAGATGTCATCAGCGACAAAGTGATGACAGTTAAAATGTGTGAAAAATTAAGAAATTTTCAATACAAGAGATGGTCTTACTTGGCCACACACTAACTTCTACAATATATGTGTGTGTGTGTGTGTGTTTTACAATGTGGACTGTTTTGTACTTGCACAAATTTATGAAAAATGATTACATTTAATTTCTAATTCTAAATTAGGACCTTTAATTTTGAACCTTTGTCCCTTCTCCAGCATCCTTGTTCAAACATTTGCATGAGTTGACATCCCAGATATTAAAATTGATGAATCCCACAATTATAAGTAATTATATTTATATATATAAAAACTTTTTTTTTTTTTTTCTGGTTATGCTAAAGCAAAATGATATTAATGATTTTGTGACGTTATTTGAAACTTCACCCAGGTGATAGACACCAAATTTGTTAGAATTATTGAATTGTGAACATCATATGAAGTGCATGTCCTTTCCATGCCTGTAATTATACAAATTGGTCATGCACGTCCTCCTTTTCCTGTTCTCAAACAATAATGATGCGTAAAACAATGAATTCCAAATCTAACACAAGCAAAAATAAAATTATTATTCAGATTCAAATCACTTTTGATGGCTAAAATCATATTGAAAATTTTTACTAAGTAATTTTATGTACTTTCAAACAGTAAGAATTTTACATCTGAAAAATTACCAGTTTTAAGATAAACTAATTCTAATATATTTAATATTTTATCTTTATTATTATTTACAGTGTTCACAGCAGACAAGTGTGTAATCAATTTATTAGCAATTTTTGAAATTTTTTTATATATATATATATATATATATATATATATAAAATTTCAAAAATTGCTAATTGTGAATATTGGCTGGTATGTGTTGATTGATTTGTGCTTCTAAGCTTTGACCTGTTCTACCTACGGTCAGCAATGCACTGCCATCTAAATTGGCAAATTACCAAACCAACATGATGGGTGGGTAGTACATTCTTCTAGATCAGTCCCAACCCTACTGGTCACCGAAAAGAACTTCAATTTTTATTTAACTTTATTAAAACTTTGAATTTTATTAATATCAATTCCTAATTATAGTTTCAATTACATCCTATATGACTACTTGACCCCAAAAAACTGACTTTCCTTCAAATTTTGCATTGAAAGTAGATGACAGCCATATACCTAGTGAAGACATTTAAATATGGTTCATAAAAAAAGCTTGAAAATTTTGAGAACTGATTTAAAATTACTATGAAATTTGAATTCTGTTTATTTTGGGGGTATTTTTTTCACATATTTACCCCATCATTTAAACAATAATTCTTTCCTGTCTCATTTATGCTTGCTGTATATTTTGGCTCTCTCACCTCGAACTTGGAAGAAAAGCATTTAGACACCCTATTACTAAGATGACCATTGGCTACATTATTGTTAAAGGGTGCTATGGTTTAAAAAGGTAATCTGCTTGTGTGCATGTCCAAAGAAATGGTATAAAATCTTCCCCAGATGATGCTAAGTCAGAATAGAGATCGGTTTAAAGGTATCTCACTTATAATTTGGGAGAAATCTCCAGGGACACACAGATAATTCTTATTTATAGAGATATTTTGAGATATAAGTAGAAGTCCTAAAATGTCTAAAGATGAAGCTTCTAATTTTGTATTGACATTATCCAATTGCTTTAAAATATGAAGTTCTCATTGATAATATATAACAACTAAAATTGTTTTCTTGCATGTCTTTTTTACTTATATCTGTCAGTACATTTTCATTTTTTTTTTGTTTCATACTTCCTAACTTATATTACTTGTGAATGATAAAAAAAATGCCACATCTATAATCTGCAGATTGGTCTCTTGAAAATATAGTTTTCTTTAACTGCACTTCTCTTCATCTCTGCAGATGCAGCATTGAAAAACTTTTTGGTACTCATTCTCGTTCTAAATGCTTATCTGCTTTTACTCTAATATTCTTGGGTTCTTGTTACTTTATGACATTTATTCTCTTAGTTTTTTTACATTCTCTTAGCATCATCGGGAATTATTTATTACCTAATTTTCACTTACTGTTATCTAAACGTGATGAGAAAGTAGATCAATTGAAATGCTGTTTACAGAACGAATATGATTGGGTAAACTGGTGTTTTGTCAACAAAAAAAGAATGGAATAATACTGTACCTGCTATCAAAGAGAGAAGCATTCTATTTATTTTTCTCTTAATTTTACATGTGTCTTTAAAACCAGACTCTGCACCAGATGGTGAAGCATGTAAAGTTCAAGGTTTTATAACAAAGACGACATAAATGATGAATATAATGATTTATACAGAAATATTAATGCATTTTCCTTTCCTTTTTACAGGAGGAAGATGAGGTGCCTGATGATGAGACAGTGAATCAGATGTTGGCAAGGACAGAGGAAGAATTTGATTTATACCAGGTAAGTATTCATGGTTGTAATGATTTTTTTATTATTTTAATTACTTCATGCTATAATGAAACAATATTTTGTCTGCCTATTATTGCTGAGAAAAAAGGTAAAAAATACCAATATTGATTATACTGATGCTTCTTCTCTTTTTATGTTGTATATTTTTCTTTTATCTTAAGGATAGAAAACCTAAACATTAATTTTCAGGAATGTAAGCTGCTGATTTGTTGCTGTTATTTAGCATTAGCAAAACCGAAAGTGTTTTTGCTTGATATTCAGGAGTTTCTTATCCCCCTTTGAAACAGACTTTTTTTTTTTTTTTTTTTTTAAGATTAATAAATTTTCTTTTGCATGATTTGTTTTATCCAAATTTTGTATCTTTCTTTTTAAATGATCTTAACTTGCAAGTTCCAGGATAAAAAATAAAGTTAATACTTAGATGATAAAAATGATTAAGAACGAAATTTAAATTTTTGTGATATTATAGAAGCCATTTAATTTCTAATTACTAAAACTTCAGAGTATATTGTTATATGACTGATGTAAAGGAGGTAAGCAGGTACACAATATATCCACTAGGTCAGTACTTTATTTAAACTGCTGGGCAAAATTTACTTGAAAAATTAGGCAGGTGGCCATTGGAGTGCTCCTGAGTAAACCAAAGATACTCTCATCCTAAACAGAAGTGCTGATTGGTATGTAAGTAATCTCATCATTTTTTACAAGTACTATGCTAGTGTTTTAAAAAAAGAAAAATTTAATTTTTATTTTTTATTAAAGCATTGAATGTTTTTCATTAACACAGAAAATGGATTTAGAAAGACGGCGCCAAGAGGCTCGAGACCCAAAACGAAAACCAAGACTGATGGAATCTGATGAATTACCCGAATGGTTAAGGAAAGACGAGAAAGAAGTAAGTAACGTATTTGTTCTCATTCCTTTGTGTTTATTATTATCTGAATTGTATTTAAAAGTTGGCTAACATATGCTATGTTTATTCAGGTTGAACGCCTCACTTATGAAGAAGAGGAGGACAAGATATTTGGAAGAGGTTCTCGTTCAAGAAAAGAAGTGGATTATTCAGATTCACTTACAGAAGGACAGTGGCTCAGAGTAAGTAGAAATTCCTTGTTATATATTTCTGACCATTTCAAAATCTGTTACAAAGATGTTATGAAAATCAGATTGCTTTTGTGAAATCTGGGTGTGCTTGGCAAAAAGTAGTACTGTGGCCTCTAAGGTACAGAATAGTTATTTTCTACTCATGGCCACAAGTTATTGTTTTATATTAATCAATTATGTATATCAGATATAATAAATATAATTTGTCATCAAGATAAAATGGGAAACATAAGTGAGCTAATTTTTTCCTCTCTCTCTCTCTGAAAATCTACACTTACACCTTATTCATTTAATATGTTAAGTATTTTGAAATGTTTGGCTTCAGGCTCATCTGCAGGAAATGAATAGTAGTAATTCTAATTATGATGTGATTTCTAAACAAAGATCAGTTTAATGAACAAAATATTGTGTATTTAGCAGATGATAAATGCTACATTCTATACTCTAAGACTTTTATGATTTTAAATTAAAAACATGACTATTGCTTGATTACATGTGGAAAAAATGCTTCAGTTAGCTTTAGTTACTTAGATTTCAGACATGTTGAGTGCTCACTAGTTTGTCTCTCTCTTACCCTTCTGTTTCTTTCTTTAACAAGTTTTTGTTTTTAGATCAATTAGTCACTTTCAATATGGCTAAGCTAATCATTTGTCTTTCAGGCAATTGAGGATGGAAATCTGGAAGAAGTGGAGGAAAGGAAAAAGGCCAAGAAAGCTAAGAAAAGAAAATATGTTCCTGATGACGATGATTCAAATTCAGCTTCAACACCCCAGAATAAAAAAGAAAAGAAACGACGAGGAAGACCTCCTCTTGAAAAGCAGCCTCCTAATCCACCAAAATTGACCAAGATGATGAAGAAACTCCTTGATGTTGTTCTTAGTTACAAGGACAGGTGAGCTTGGTTTTAGTTAAAAAGTTGATCATAAAATATATTTGACCATTAATGTTTTGTGAAATTGACAAGATGGAAAAAGTTTTGTTGTGATGCATATTGTAATTTCTTCACGCTTACAAGATTGAGTCCATCAATAAAACTATTGTATGTAAAAAGGTGGGAGGTAGGAATGTAACAAGTGCTTGTTACTTTACATTGGAATGCTAAGAAGACATACACACACACACACACACACACACACACACACACACGGCTTTTAAATTTAAATTTTGATGTCCAATATATGTAGATGTTATCATTCAGCCTTATATCACTTTTATTTTTATCATTATTGTTTTTAATCATCCCATATTGTATCAGCTGTGATTTTGTAAGGAAAGATATATGATCCTGGTCATAAATTTACTATAAAGGCTTCAGAAATTAGTGCACTTTCAATACATCTTTGTCTAAATTATTTTGTCCTTTAACAAAAACTGAATTCTTCAAAGTCAAAATTTTGGTCTGCCCTATTAAAATGATGAATGACTAAAGTATTGAGTGCATTGTTTTGTAAATGATCCCTCTTATGTTCATATAATCTTTTTTTCAAATTCTTAGCCATTTCACCAATGTGTTTTTGGGGGCGTTTCTCAATCTATTCAGTTTTAATGTTTTACAATTTTGTTTTGTGCAAATTAAATCTCTTATTGGTTTTTAGGTAATTAGGACAAATTTTATTAAGGTTTTTTAACATGCTATCAAGAAATTATTTTTATGTTTCATAAATAAATTCAGTTGTATGTTCAATGTTTAGTTTATTTACATGATCAGGTAATATTGTTTTGCTGTGTCATTGCTCCATTGGAAGTCTGCTGATACTTTAGGTAAAATATTTTGGAAAGGACCAGTTTATAGAAATTCTAAGACAAGATAAGCTCTTAGTGGTGTATTAGCATATCTTGTAAATAGTTCAGATTTGTTTATAAAACCAGTGAAAGTGGAATAACATTGGTTTGTAATAAGTTGACAAATCCTTATAATTTTACCTATCAGTATGGACAGGTTAGTTTTTGATTTCACTAAATGTTTCTTTGGGATAATTAAGCACTTGTTAACTGGTTTGTTTAAGGAGTTAATATCTAAACTCACCATGATTTTCTTTCAGACATTTTTTAAATGGTCAGCAAGTTTGCTAGAATTTTTTAATGTGAAGGGCTAATTGTTCCAAAAAGTGGGGTTAAAATTTTCACTAGTCTGGTAAGGACTGCCAATCCCAAATATGATAGTTTGCCTGACTATTGTAACAATTTTATCATTGTAAGTTTTTTTTTTATATTCTATAATCACATTACAAAATGAAAAATCATTTTTCTAGTGGATGTGTCAATATTTTTGTATTCGGCTCCTCTTGTTTTCTTGTGTACAAAATCAAAATAGGTAATGTTTATCATCCAATTACTTGTATCCTTTTTCAAACTGCATTTGATTTTTCATTTTTATTGTAGTGATGGCCGTGTCCTAAGTGAAGTGTTCATCAGTTTACCTTCACGAAAAGAATTGCCAGAATATTATGAAATCATTAAGAAACCTGTTGATTTTAGAAAAATTAAGGTAAGTAATTTTTGCTTATTGTTAGAGGTAAAAATTCAATCACAAGATTTATTAAGAATATTTTTAGGGAACTCAAATTTATGTTCAAGCAGGATGCTTCCCCATATACTATCAATCTTATGGTGTTGATTTGATTCTTGATGCTTCAGAACTTGTTGACAGGTAAATTTTTCTTTTACACAAATTATCAGATACCACATTTACTCCCAAAATATACTGTTAAAAACATGTTTATACACATGTCACAAGTTCTTTTACAAGTTTCCCTTTGCTCTTTTCTAAAAGTAAATCTTAATTATTTTATAAATACCATTTTCTGTGTTTATATAATAAACATTTGTAAACTAAATTTTTTTTTTTTTTTTTCAAAATTTTAAAGTATACTCATGAATTTTTTAAAAAAGTGTGCTTAATTTTAATTTTGCTTAAGCAGCCAAAGATAAAATTAAAAAACTTGAGTGTATTGTCTGACTCCAACTACAAGTACTTCTTAATTATTTTCTTTTCTTTGATTCTTATCTATTTTCTATTTTATTTTTAATTGTAAATTAACCAAGAATAATATTGTTCTTGAGTAATAGTGTAACTTGTTATGTCTGGAGTCTTTCTATATTGATTGAGGGCTCTTTGATGTTTAAAGTTCTCTATTGGCAGAAGTTCATTTTGCATAGTATTTTAATCTGATGTTTGTTAATTGCTGCTTCCCACATTACAGAAGTGGTAGGATTTGTGAATTCCATTGTTATTGGTTATTAGGTTTTTGCTATTTTTAAATTTACAATTAATTCTATTTACAAATGTTGTCAAAATTATAATTTCCATTTTATTAAAATATTTCTTTGTGTTCTTTTCTAGGCAAGAATCCGAGATCACAAATATCGCAGCCTAGATGACTTGGAACGAGATGTGATGTTACTATGTAAAAATGCACAAACCTTCAATGTGGAAGGATCTTTAGTAAGTTGCGCTTCTTGTACTGTCTTTATAATGGCCAACTTCCAAATCAGAGACGTCTTTGAAATGTAAACACTTTTTAGTTCAAAGAAAATATCAATATTAATCCTTCTTTTCTCATATTTGTTTCTCCAAAAATTAGTCACTTCAATTTGGACAGCAACCTTTTCTTTTATTTTGCCACATAAGCTGTGAAAAATACCTTTCATTTACATTTGCTATTTTTTCATTATTTGTGGTAGCAATCTTTCAAATGGATCTCTTGGCTTCATTTCCTCATACTACTTTCTCTTCACATACACACACTTATACCCTGCTTGGTTTTAAAAATAATAGTAACCTGAAATATTTTTCAAGCTACTAAGCAATACTCTTCTTTTCTAGATTTATGAAGATTCAATTGTGCTGCAGTCTGTGTTCACCAATGCTAGGGAACGTTTAGAGAAGGATGGTTACCTACCATCATCTGATGATAGTATGAGTGATGATGATGATGTAGGTAATGCCGACAGTGATGATGATCAGGAGGAGGAGGATGATGAGGAGGAGGATGAGGAAGAGGCTCATAGTAAGTACTTTTTTTCACCTTTGTTTATGTTATCAGTGTAAGTTGTTGATCCCTGTCTGTCCAGACATTGCATTAAGAATGTCATTATAATACAGTATATAGATGCAAAATGGGTACATATGAAAAACCATAAAAAAAGTTGGTTATCTTGTGTCTTCAAAAACAAATATTAAAACAAAGTTGGCTGAGGCAATATTATTATTGAGTTGAAAACAAAATAATGGAAAAAGTTGCTTATGTTAAAGAAAATGGGGGGAAAATGTGTATCTTCCAAGCCTGAATAAAATATCTCGGCTTGTTAGCCCTATTAGTGTCCAAAATCTGTCTCCAGTCTGTCATTTCATTGGATTGTGGCATATTAGGTCTAATCAAATATACTAAGAAATAGAGCTAAAAGCCAATAAAGTAAGATTTGGACTTCTGATTTGATAAGGTAAATCCTTTTTCTCTTAACACAAGATTTAGTTGTTTCACGTTTGAACTTGCTTTCCTATACCAATCAAGTGAGCATTTTCCTCATTTATTTTTCTATTAAATTATTTCAGGTCAGGCTGTGAAAGTAAAAATAAAATTGAATAAAGAAAATTCAAGTGCATCAAAGAAAGTTAGTAAAGAGGTAAGTAAATTGTCTATATTTACAGTTTGGGTCAACCTGTTCTATACATGTCATTTCTGGCCATGTTCTTTATTTGACTTTCTTAAAACGTAATAGACACTTTCTACTAATCATATTATTCATAATTTATAAGAATAAAAGGAATTAAAAAAAATATGTCAAATTTATAAGCATGGACCAAATACATTCTCAACCAAATAAAATTAAAACCTCAGTAGGCAATCTTGCTCTTCATTCAAGTGAGAAATAAGTAGGTGGCTCTGATTTGTAACCTGTGATGCCACACATGAAGCTACTTTAGTGTCCTTTTTAATCCCTGTGATCCTTGAGAGGGCTCCTTCCTCACTTCTTACACCTGCTTTGTTAGAAAAATAAAGTATGTCTAAAGGAAATGCTATTGTCATAAGTGGTACTTGAGTCCTTTAGGGCATATAGAATGAAATGCTGGGAAATGTTGAATGTATCTTCTTGTTGCAAGACAGCCAGGTAGGTAAGATTCCTTGAGACTAAATCAAAAGCAGATACAACATTTATAACAAGAAGTCCAACGTCAAGAGCCCCATACCCACCCACTTTTTTCATGATCACTCTTGTGAAGGACTGCCAAAGCTACTGCTACAGGTTTTTCTTTAGGGTTGATATCTGAAATTATTGCCCCTCTAATATGGAGGCATTGAAAAGTTTTGATTTGGATGTGTTTGTGATGTTTCAGGCTCAGGATATAAAACCACGGAAAAGGAAAATGCGAGCCGCCAAGAATCGGCCAGTGATTAGCGATGATGATGATACGGAAGGAAGTGGAGGGGTGAGTGTTTCCTGTGGTGAAATGAACTGAATGTCATGGGTACTCAGGGACAACCCTGGGACTTTAGGTTAGTGAGACATTTTGACTTTTTTTTTTTTTTTTTTGCTTTATTTTTTTTATTCATTTTTAATTTCTGGACTTTTCTCCCTTGGCTTCTATGATTTATTTTCTTTTAATGAATTGTTCAGGAGTTAAGCTCAACCGTAATCATCTGTCCAGGCTCTGATCTTTGTCAAAAAGTTTATAAATTAGTGAATAAGTAAAAAAAAAAAAAAAAAAAAAAAATAATAATCAGTATTTTCTTTGTCTTTTGGTGATGTAACAGAGAGGCTGTCTACTCAAACTATTTAAAGAATCATAAATGTTAGTTTTCCTTTATCACTTTATTATTTTTGGATATTGTAACTGCTCCATAACACTGGCTAATGAGTTTGAAGTCAACCAATACAGCTTCATATTTGGCATTACTATTTTGTACATTATGAAGTTATAGAGAAATATGAAGATTGCTTGCCCCAAATCAAATATATCTTATAGCTATCAATTTTAATCCATTTTCAAGTGCATTTGATAAAGCACAGCAAGGAAATTATTCCTTTATTTTTTTAATTATTTTATACTCAAGAATTTCTTTTCATCATAGCTCTGAAAAGTAATGTAAGCTTGTATATTGGAAAATGAGAGTATTTTGGCAAACTCATAAAATGTTAGATGTACAGTAACCAGTAAAAATTTAATGTTTGCATTTGAAGAAAAAATTTCTTTATTATGCATAAGGAAAATGTTGAAGTAATTTACTTATGGTCCCATAAAATAATTGTTATAGACTGTAAATTAATTTTGGCACCCCCTAACTTGTACACTATTCAGTATCTTGATCTCTAGAAATTGGAAATATTATCTTTTCAGTTGTCAGTTCAACATTTTTTTCATGCATAATGAAGCCATATTCTTATTTTTTTTATCAATGTCCTCAATGCACACAGTTATAGAAATGGGTAAAAATATTTACAACAAACAATTTAATACACATACTATGGACTAATTAATTACTAATGTTGAATAATTATAAATGGGGAATTTACCAATTGTTTTATAACTAAAAATGGTGATTTGTTCATTTGATTCTAAAGCTGTGGTTTTTCTTTTGATCAAGTATACAGAATAGTGCTTACTTTGTTAGCTATTCTTTCATTTATTTAAATAATTGATTGTATTGTGCTGTCTGTAAACAGACATGAAAATAACGTCCTCCATCTAGTAATGATTGTGCATCTTTCAGTCAAACAATATAAAATGGTAGTAGTCAGAAGCATTAATATAACTACTTCTAACAATTTCTCTCTCTCACCCACAGGAACAACGTGAAGGAAGTGAGGCTGGGCCCAGTTCTCGAAGCTCTTTGCAAGTTTCATCTCCCGCTCCAGGCTCCAGGAAAAGATAGCAAAAGTGACGATGCATAGTGGTTCATGTTCTCTTTCCCTAAGGTCTTTCTCCTCCTCTTTATCCCACTTTGACTATGAAGCCACTCTTTTTCCTTCTTCCTCTATCTTTCTCTCTCAATCTTTACCTCCTCCCATTCTCACTGATCTCTCTCTCTCTACATGGGCACAGCTGATCACTTTTTAACCTCCTCTTCTATTTTAGCATTTACCCCTTCCTACTCACACTTTCTCTCTCTTTTATCTGCCTACATTTGGAGAAGTACAGATGCAATCAATCAGATCAGCAGGAGTCCAAAAAAAAAAAAAAAATTCAACCATTTCTATTACCCCCCCCTCCCCAAACACTTTCCATGGTTGTTTCCTCCCAAACAAAAAGAGAAGAACAGTCCCCATGTGGATATCATCTTTTTATTTATTACAAAAGCAAACACAAGTTACTTCCTGAATTGCACAACTGCCTCACTCTACAAGGAAATGACATTCCTACCCCCTTCACTGGTGACTGATACTCCTCTCTAATGCCTGCCAATCCGAATTGTAAGTGCGATACAGCTGCAGTGTATATTCTGCCTATCTACTTTGGGAGGGGGAAAGGCCACCTTATTTAAACCTTGTTACCTATAATAATATGAACTCGTTTGGTGACTCCCCTCATGTCCATGGGAGAAGGAAATTGAGTGATTATTCTTTGCGCTATGACACTCCAATTGATTCTTTTCTCCAAAGTTCCAGTAAATAATCAAGAAACAGATATAATGGCTCGCTGACAAGCTGATTTTCTTCTCCTGCTGACCATGAGAGGACAAAACGTTTTGAGTGTTGACATTGCTGAGTACCTCAGAGTTGCCTTTGTCGTCATGAGCCTCTGGACCCAAGTCTGCAGTAAATTCAGGATTTACCAATTGCACTTGTCAAAAGGATGATACCAGAAACTTTAGTTGACTCTGTCTTTTGGTTGAGAAGCACTCCCACCTACCTGTTGCCATTGAAATTTTCACTGTAGATTCATGTATGATTTGTTTGAGACACCTGAAGAAGCCAGTTGCTGCTGCTGCTGCTTTCTTCTCCTCCTCCTCCTACCCCTATCTTCTTTGCCTCTCTTTCTCAAAACATGGAGACTTGGTGAATGAAGGCAGTCTGAGAGATTCTAGTCCACAGAAGCAAGCATCTGCAACTTTGGGCAAACCTTGTTCCACTATGTCAGCCTTGCCTGTATGGAGGGCGGCTGCTGCTGCTGCTGACAAGGCTTTTGGAAGAGAAGACCAGTCCTGACCTTTTGATGAAGAAATCAATCTTTCTCCTACTTTTCATTTAGTAAAACTATCATCTGGCTGCTTACTGGATGTGATCTCAGGAATATGGCTATGAAGTGGACGCTAATTGGCTTGAGACCCACTTTTTTAATTTTTTTTAATTTTTTTTTTTTTACAAGTTACTCTTACAAAACAAAATGAAAGAAAACAAAAGGAAGAGAAAAAAATATTTCAAAATTGTTCTCAAATCCACAGAACCAAACTAAAAGTTAAAGCGTGTGCAGATTGATATTTTGTCATTATTATTATAATTATTATTATGATAAATCTTCTCCTAGATCTTCATCCCATCCACATGGTTTTCACCCAAACTTCTTTGTATCTTTTTTTAATTTTATTTTTGTTTTTATTTTTATTTTTTATTTTTTTTTTCAATTTGTCCAGAAATGTTGTTCAATTGTTCTTACTGCTTTACTGTCAATCTAATCCTAAATCTCTCTCTCTCTCTCTCTGTCTCTCTTAGGATATTTTCTTGCAAAATAAAAAAAAAAAAAACATTTTTTTTAAATAAAAGGAAGCTTAATAAAATTTAAAAACAAAAAACTTTAAAAAGAAAAGCAAAAACATCTTGACTATTGTCAGCTGCTCTGTCCTGAAAGGTTCTGCAAATACGGGGACCAAATAAATGTTTGTAGTTAATTGACAACCAAGCCCAGCTGTGTCGCTCATGTGACCCGGGCACCTTCCCTCTGCTGCAGCTACTACCACCACCTCTACTAAATCGACTCTGCCTAAAGCTAATGTAAACCCTAACCAATTGCCATAACCACTCCCACTCATCATAACTCCTTGCACCATCACTTGCTGCTGCTGTCTTGTTGATTCCTCCCCCACTTGCCCCTCCCTCTAACCTCATCTAGCTCTAGATTGGACATTGTAGAAGGGAGTCATTTTTCATTTGGAACAACACTCATCATCCATTACCAGACATTTTTACTAAGTGCCATTCAAGTATTTTTCCCATGCTGCCACCTGTACACATGCACAGTGATGGATGCATGTAGAGGTGTGTGTGTACAGCTATTGCACTCATGAGTGCGTGTGTGGTGTGCATTCCATCCTTCAATTAGCAAGTCAGCAAAGCAACGTCTTATCTGACATTTGTTGAACTGGGTAATTGGTTGTCTAAACAAATGGAAGTCAATAAATAATGTTTAACCTTTGCTTTGCTCTTTACTCTATCTCTCAGCCCTTCTGGAAGACAACCGTGGAAACAGATTCTATACACTTTTATCTTCTACTTTTTTTGTTTTCTTGTTCACAAAGATTTGGCAAAGAATAAGATTATTTGCCTCTTTCCTTTTAAAACAGAAATGCAGAACTGGAGAATTTCGGATGACCTGACTGGTGGTTTTTACCTGTGTTTTATATCCATTTGCTTTTCTTTTACAGTTTCATAGAATTTTCATCTGGTCAGACATTTGGTAAAACATTGCTTAACTTTTGCTGACTTATTAGAATCCTGGATTCACAAAGTGTTAAAAATATGTTGTGCTTTTTGTACATTTAACAGGAAAGCATTAAAAAAAGAAAAACAATGAACATTTTGTTACCAGATGTTTACACTGTACACTCATCTTAAGACGAAGTTTATCAATAATCTCTGGCCTACATTTTATTTGTGATGAACAATGATAATGGTTTTTGAAGCAAGCCATTGCTGCTGTTTTGTATCTTCAGATGATGGTAGATAAAATATGCCAAACAGTTGAATGGTATTTCTTATAATTTGATAATTGTAAGATGAGTGTACAGTCAATTTTCTTACAAGATATCTAATTTTGTTTTTCCATTTAAATTTTCCCAGTCGATGCTCAATTTCTAAAAAGACCTAAAATGCATCTTAATTTTTTAATTTTTTTTTTAAAACTTTTCAACATTGTATACAGTCAAGTCAGTCATGAAATTAAATTTTCCCTAGGAAATTTTCATTTCATTCTTTAATTAATGCTGTCAATTTCTGCTGTTTGGTATGTTCATTTGAAGCAAACAACTCTACCTCTGAAATTGTATGTTTTTGTTTTTCAATTTTGATTACTGGATTGTTTACCTTCAGAAAGTGTAAGTGCAATCGGGCATTACAGAAAATACTTTTATAGGTATTAATTTTAATCTAACAGAAGGTTGAAAAAATGCAGCACTCAGGACCAAACTTGCTAGCAATAGTTTGCAAAACTGGCATAAATTTATTGTGCAGCAGCAGTAGATACGGCCTGCCCAACTTGTAATATAATTTGGATAGTACCTTCCATTTCAGTAAAAAAAATAAAATTGCTCACTGATTATAAATTTAGAAAAAGATTTGGACCTTTGAGCTTAAACAGTTTTGTATTTAAGTCTTAATTTCTGTCAAAAGACATGATGCAATAATAAGTAGTACTGGCTTCAATCCTTAATAATTACCACTAGTGAATTTTTTTCTCAGTGTTAGAAATATAAGTTTTAAAAAAATAAAATAAAACTGAGAATAGCAGTTTTGTTTTCTATTTTTCTAAAATTCCAAAAATAATTGGGTAAAAACTTCATGAACAGGCATTATACCATCTTTTCTTTCGCATGTGCAGAACTGAGAACTCAAGCCTAGAAAGATAATTTTTGTTGACTATTGGGATTTTTTTTTTCTTAATTTGATTCAAATTCTTGAAAATATTTCAGTAAATAAAATGATAATTGAGCTTACTCCAAAAAGATAGTGAAACATTCCTTGAAAGTTTGGAATTCATTCCTTTCTAAAATCTTATATTGATATTCCAAGTTTTAGCATTTTCTATCTACTGCTTCCAAAGCCATTTTATTTCTTTAAGCTTGTGATTTCTTGTATACAAATAGCTCTATGGATTCATTTGAATGACTAATAAAATATTTTTAAGGGAAAAGTTTATACATATTTTATATAACTTAATTCATCAAAACTTTAATCAGAATATTTTAGCACATTCTTCAAAGAAAAAAATGATTTTACTATTGAATATACTAAAAGTTGCCTATACATATTGCTAAAATTAAACTTTAGTAATAGGAGAAAACCAACTATAATTACTATCTCAACATTTGCCAACAGCCTGTCATATCTATTTTTATGGCTGATATTTAATATAAAAAAACAAATTTCATGAAATATTTAGTCAACATCCTGTTAAATCTTGATTTAACAGAATGTAGACAAGATATTTCATTAATGTTTTTTTTTTTGTTTTTGTTTTTTTTTTAAGAAATTGTATTTTAAATATTTAAAGTGGGTACTTCCACAAAATTAGCATACTGTGATGAAAAAAATGCTCCAAACTTAATGAAAACAGTTTTATGATCAAAATTTTTATTATTAAGAGAAAAGATCAAAGTATTTTTTGATATTTAATTAAATTTTATAACCCTTTTTTAAAATATTCAAAATTATGATTAAAACATCTTGTTTTTCTTGTATCAGCAGATCTATTATAAATTAGCATAACAAATTTTAGCATCTTTTTTTGTGGTGATACACATTAATTTGAAAATTCTTGCAAAAATCAAATTGTCAGATTTTAAAATTTTCAAGACTTATTCACAAATGAATGAAATTGTTTTTTTTTTTTTTTTTTTTTTTTTTTTTTTTTTTTTTAGAAAATAAAACTAATACATTATTTAGATAAGCTTTTAATTGCTTTTATGAATAGTGTATATTAAGGACAATATTGTCTTGAAAAAAGTTTTTTTTTTTTTTTTTTTTTTTTTTTCAAGGAGAAATGAATTTTTTCAAGATTTGTTTTCATTTTTTACAATATTAATTAGAATAATTCATGATATTTTTAAATTTTTTAAAATTCAGTTTCAGTGGTTTAACTCTTTGGAAATATTATTATTAAGTAGAACTATTTACTAATCCTATATTGTAAAGCTTATTACAATTTGACAACTCCAAATATTTTCAAAAGAATTTTGAATTATTTTTGTATGTGTATGAATGTGCTGAATTTTATAGATACGATCACCCATACACAATACTATCAGAAAATAAGAGAAATAACTATAGTAAAGTTAGACAAAATTCTCTAAAATTCAGTAAAACATTAGATTATGGAAAATGTTTTCTTAAATTTTTAAGATTACCAAGTACTTAAAAGTGGTTCATGTTATGTTCCTCAATTTTTTTATTTTTCATGGTTAAAGCCCCTGTAGAACAACATTAGATAAAAGTCTGTCACAGAGCTGTTAAAAAGCTGTCAA